TTTATTATTGGAATCGTGACAGCCCTAACTGCAGCGTCCCTGAATTAATAAGGTGTCAGTGGCAGAAAGCACGCCGGAATGTGCGTGCAAAAATAAATCACTTGTGAGAAGGGAACTTTTTCTTCCCTTTAGAAAAAAAGCCCGCACCGTCCGCCCCCTCATGTACAATGCTGGGAATAGTAACAGCACTGTGAGGCTGGGCTAAATATAGCAGCCAGTGAGTGTTAACATGTCAACTTCAGCAGGAGTGCAGAGAAGCGGCTGCTGCACGTGTGACCGCTGTGGATGTACACAGTTTCGCTATAAATACTAATTCGCCGTTCTCTCCGCTGCCGTGTTTTAGACACACGCCAAGCCCGGGGAGGGTTTACATGTGTGTGTACGCGAAGGCACGCTTTAATCCAGTAGGTCGCAAAAGACAAACGCAAATGGCCAAACAGGCAAGGATGGCTTGCCTTTTTTGGGCAATAAAGAGAACCTTTAGACCCTACAAGCACTATAACCAAGAAGCACGCATGAAATATTTGTAGACAAGGGAATGGCTTATACGCCTCACAACAGAACCAAAGTCGTGCTTTAGGATGTATAAGAGGGGCATATATCGATTTCTATGTTTCTCGCTTTTGGGCCCTTAGACCCCCCAAAAAGAAAAACAAAACAAAAAAAACAACAGCAACAATGAGTTCTTCTCAATCGAAGAGACTTGTGCAGCAAACCGTGTATTTATTTGTGATGGAAGGAGATTTAACTCCCCCCCCCCCAAACCCACCACCACCCAACTACGTTACGTAATCTAGCATGTGAATGTCAAGAGACAGAGCGGCTCGAGTAGAGACCGAGACAGAGAGAAAGGAAGAGAGAGAGAGAGAGAGAGTATTGGTCTATGCGTACAGCTCCCAAAACCCATACCGAGGGAACACTATGTGCTCTGTAGTCCCGTGAGACTTAATATGTAAGACACCCCTCGACCCCCGACCCCATCCCCTCACACGCGCACGGTCATGCGTGTCCACGTGGACACGACCTGGAGATTCCAACGGCACGGAAAGTATACCAACTAGAAATGACAGCAGCTGCACAGGTTTCTTCAGCGTTAAACTCATTTGTCTGTCCATTCACAGACTCCGCGGGAAGGAAAGAATTCTGTGAATGAGTGAGCGGGAATGGGATGAATGAATGAAATGAGTGAATGAAGAGCAGCGACAAAGAAGAAGAATAAGAACTAGGGGGCGCGCTTAGCTTATGTCCCTTTTAATGGCTTCTCTCTCTCTCTCTCTCTCTCTCTCTCTCTCTCTCTCTCTTTCTCGCCCCCCTCTCCTTTTCCTCCTGCAGAGGGAAGTGCGCCTGCACGGACCATAACCAAGCATGGAAAACAAACACATACAGTACACACACGACTGATGCTGAGGATGCCTAGCGTTATGTGTGTGTGTTTGTGGTGGTGGTGTGTGTGTGTGACAGAGAGAGTGAGAGTGTGGGAGGGGGGTGTTCTATAAATAGCACTATAACTCTGCTTCCATTGACATCATTTAGGCAGGAGAGATGGAAAAATAAATAGGTGGCAGGGAAGGGAGGGGAGCAGAGGGTGCAGGGTTCCTTAATCTGGGCTTGAAATTCAAACAAAACCTGGCCAGCCATCCCTGTGTACACACTCTCAACAAAAAATGGTTCTACACAGTAAACATGGAAATGCATCTTCTGGTCTAGACTCTCCTTTGATTTTGGGCTTCATTAAGTTTTTGAACGAATCATTAGAACCAGAAACTTGAACTGCCGTCACCCAAATGTTACATGGATTATATGCTACCAATCATCTGCTTGGACCTGGCATAATAAATAAATAAATTGCGATATATATATTTTTTTAGATCCTCATTTATATCTTAATTTCACTTCAAATTCATACTCTTTTATACATTGTCGTCATTGTTTATTTATGTTTCGGGCATTTTTTTTTAGACAGACCTATATCAAGCCGTCTTTCTATATTTGTGATGGTTGCAGTGCCTAAAGCATTGCAACCATCTTGCTAAGAATCTTTTGCAGCCCTCTTTTTTTCCATGTGCATGCTTGCTTTCATCTCTAGGGCACAATAGTAAACATCAGATCAAAACACCGACTGTTTCCTAGAGAGACTGCAGCCCCCAAGTTGAAATGGAAAGCCACGAGGCGATTGGGAGGCGACATCAAACAAATTAAAAGGACCTGTGTGTATACAATGGATACACAGCCATATACACACATAAGATCCAAGTGGAAAAGATGTGGGGCCATCACACACCCAAAGCTGATGTTTTTGGAAGGTATTATTGTTGACATGCCCTAAAAGGGGACAAGGCAGAGGGTTGAAGCTTTATAGGCTACAGTGAGAGAGTGGTCTTTTTATTTTGCTCAAGACTAACATTTCCTCTCAAACAGCCCGAGTCGTGTGTTTATGTTATTATGGAGGAGGAAAGGACAGCACACCGTTTTTTCCATGATTGGAGTGTCTTAGTCACACCCAGGATCACTCTCTGTCTTTCTATCACTGTCGTCAGCCTTGGCACTGACCCCTGAGTGCTGCGTGACTTCCACTGGTGCTGATGACGTCTTCTGTGATACATTTCTCCCCATGTGGGTTCCTCAACATGTCCTGTGATTACACATATCTGAGCCCCACATCCTGTACCTGTGACAATACTTCTTTCCATGTTGTTTCATTTTGGATTTCTTATTGGATGATGAAAGGAAACATTTCATGCGCACAGAGGTTGAAGGTTAGGTGCAGCTACAGAACCTCCAGAGCAAAGATTCCTAACCTCCTAAGACCCGAGCTCTTCCATTGCATACATTTGTAATTTATCTTTGATATTTGGGCATATTGGGACCCAATGAATGTAAAAACAAAGAATTACCAGATTTTTGTTTTTAAGAAAAATGAGAGCCACATATGAGGATATTTGTTTAACATTTTGATAGAACAGTGGCAGTATAATGTCCTCGTAAGTGGATATCAGGCCCTTCCAAAATTTTGTATTTTGGTCTAGACAACCCAAAATGTCATGTCCACATATGTGGAGGCCAGGTCCTAGGAGGTTAAGGACACTTAAGATGACCTATGTTTACTTGATAAACCATTAATCTGCCATTTCTTTTTGGTAGTAACTTAAGCTGCTTAATGACACATTCACAAATTTAGGTGAAGATATAAAATCTTTCTTCCCTGTTGAAGATCACATACTTCACCTTCCTCCTCCCAAATAGCACTTACACCTTTTTTTTTTTTTTTTTAGAATATTTGGCACACAGTTCTTACAAGATAAACCTAAGAATTGTAGTGTTAAATGGTTACAGTGTTTGAATTGTGTGCTTCTCAGTTCAAGATGATAAATCATAAGGTCTAATTCAGTTGTGATATTTTAGCCATGGTCTCTTGGTTTGCCTCTTTTTCTACCTCTTGTCATCACATTTGCCCTCGTTCATTTTTTCCTTCTCTTTCATGCTGACTTACTGAAGGCTGCGTGAATGGCAGAACAACCTTTCAGAGGAGACATGAGTCTAAAAATTCTTAAACATCATCTGTTTGCATTTGTGTGCTTTTTAGCCATGCATGTGTCATTGACGCAAAAGTTGGCCATTACTTTTGATATCCTTAATGTTGTATAATGACAACAAAGATAGCAGCTTGTTGTCAAAACTTACTGGAATTTCTACTAATGCTTAATGGAAATGTTGTTTTTGCCCTCTGTGCTGGTTAAAATGTCCCACTGAAAACAGGACAGTAGACAGAGACCCTTTAGAGATCCAGCATCTTAAAGGATCTGTTAAGTGCTGACATTAACAACTGTCCTGTGGTTGCAGGCATACATTAAGAATTTAAGCCAAAGTTAAAACAGAGAAAACAATCAGTCTTATTTTAAAAGGAGTTGCCTAATTACATTGCTAAGCATCCTAACAGGCTGTAAAATTATTGTTAGTGAGACCCGTTTGTCTCTCTCTCCATCTGTCTTTCTGCATGGTGTTCCATCCTTGGACCTCGAGAGCTGCAGGTTAAATGGGGAAAAGGTTGTCAACATAGTCAGCTTGAGGCTGGAGGATATATTTAGACTGGAAAGACCAGAGGAAGGCAGGGAGAGACAGACAGGCAACAAGGAGGGAGAAATTCATTTTGACCCACTTTCTGAAGCTGTTACTACCTGTATATCTTCTGAATCATTTGTATTTGAATCAGTGTTCTGCTTATTTGTGCTCTAATTTATCCATGCCTATTTGTGTATTTGCGGTGACAGTGGCTAATAAGGGTATATGAAATTCAGTTTGAATTAGAGTTTATTTTTTGTGTCTCTCCCTCCCCTCTGTTTAGCACTCAGACATGAGGTGCCGGGTCTAGCGCTCAGCCCCAGTCATGGTGGTGAATGGGGGTAAAAATCTTCTAATAAAACATGCTGGCACATCTCATCCACACCTACCCACCAACCCCCCACCCCAAACGCCCCAACCCCAAACACTCATAAGCCCCACCCCTCTCTTCTTGCCAGCTGAATTAATCTGATACTATTTTTGAAAGACAGTGTTTCTAAGGGATACCTAATGACGCAATGACGTCAATGCAGGTCAATAGCACACTGCTGGAGAAGAGGACCAGGGAGGAGGAGAGAGAGCGAGAGAGAGCGAGAGAGGGAGAGAGAGAGAGAGAGAAGCACAGAGAAATGGAGAGGGAGAGAGAGAAAGGAGTGGAAGAGAGGTGCTTTCAGATCTCGTTGTCGAAACACCCAAGACAGTTCCCAGTGTTTTTACACTGACTGTTTCTCTCCTCCTGAATCATTTATTCATTTTTTATATACTTTTTTTTTTTTTTTTTGAAATTCCAATAACAGCACGAGCTTTCAGTCGGGCTTACCCTGCACCATTCATGCTTTCCGTCCCTGTCTGGAAGTAATTCACACACACGCAGACCAACGCACGCCTACGCATAGACAGTAAGAAAAAAAAGAGTCTTTGGCGTGAGGTGAATCGTGTGGCGCGCTTCCCCGAATGCGTGAAGTCCCCCTGATTTGGCGGGCTATTTCTATAATCAGGCGCACATTTGTAACTCTGTGCTCTTCCCCTCCTGTCCGGCTACCACCACCACCTTTACATTTCCAAACCCCTCACCCCTCCCCGAGACCATCCATCCAAACCCACCGTTCTTTTGAGCAGGGTCCTTGAATCCTGAATGCAAACACCAAATATTTTACCCTCCGACAACAACAGGGAGAGGACGCGCAACGGACTGACTTTCTCCATCCTGGCGAAGGAGGAGAGACTGTAGGCTGCCCTGTCCCCCTTTCTGCTCAAATCATGTATTCAAACAGAGTTTATAAAGACACAGAAAGCAAGAAATATTGCAGGTAAGTTTTTTTCTGTTATTTGTTGCGCGAAACCCAATTCGTGGGCAGCTAGTTAGGGAAGTTTGCAGCCTGACCGTGCTTGGATATTTTGGGACTTAGTCCCCCCCATCATAACCGGTTGATCTGAAGACGAAGGTAACAGCATTCTCACGAGACGTTCTGTAGTGGCAGGGAACGCCATCCAAAGTGAGGTTCGCCTTCACTCGGACTCAAAAAAAGACCGCAATGTTAAGTGGGTATGCAGATCATTTAAGAGGACGTATTCATTGTTGCCTATCCGTTTACATTCTGCTTGTAGTCGTGAATGTTTGCCCGCTAAAGCTTAACCTCACCACTGCTTGTCTTTATTCCCTGCAAAGGGGATACTCAGCGCGACTTTTTTAAGGGTCATTGCAGGGGATGCCGTTGGGTGTCTGCGCACTGATAACTTTGGGAACGTTCAGAATAGGGTATTAAAAATAGCAGTGAGACGGGGTTTTTTTTTGGTTGTGTCTGTGTGTGCATACTGGCAGCAGATGGGATTTTGCAAACACTCAAAGAGAGCGGGCTGCGGTAATGCGTAGGAGTATTCACGTGTTGGGGATCCTCTGCTTCAGGCTGCCTGATCTACTGAGATGCCTAGTAACTACTAAGAGATAGAAAGAGAAGGAAACTTTGGGAAAAATCACTTTTTTCCCAAGGCCGTGTTTACATCATCTGTATATATTTATAGATTTTTCTTTTACGGCCTCAACAACGGCGCTCTCCCCCGTCGTGACAAAGAAGTAGAACTGCATGGTAGATGCTCATTCATGAGTATTCGTTATAAACTTATAGGTTAGGCGTCCTTAGTCCTCCCCTTGTAAACAACTTTCTGCAGCGGACTTGCGTCAGCCCACACGTGTCGCCAGCTGCCTCGGAGGTACATGCTGTCTTCTTTTCTTTCATGGCCGCGATATAACCGCATTTGTTAGTCCCGTGAGTCTCAAAATGCTACTTGCATTCGCCGGAGCAACATAAGGTGGCGTCGTTATAAAACTCAAGTCTGGGAGGGAAGTTAGAAGATTCAGCAGAACAGGCAGGTTGAGCTGCCCTCACATGGCTCAAACAGCGACTGAGCTGTTCAGCACCACGGAGAGCTCCCTGTTCGTTTACACACTCACATCCTAAGGTAAATTAGAAACTGTGCTGCGGTGGTCCAAAATGTTTAATGACGTGAAAATAAACGTATAAGGCTGTTTTATTTTCTATAGTTTGTTATTACTTCTTTGATGCTGTGAAAACGAATATTTTAAAGTTGTGTTAGTGCGGAGAGGTTGTTACAGGTTGATGATAAGTTTACCTCGTACAAAAAGCGGTAATCGGAAACTGAATCAGTAAGTATTTTGTGTAACATTTGGCTTCAAGTCAGCACCACTTCACCTACGTTCATTTGTGTACACATTTTGAGTATCCTTGACAAAAACTTGCCACAGTTACTCTGTGGTTTCAAACTGTCATAGATCACAGTTCTCTGGATGCCACACCATCGGTGCCAGGACTTTTATTTCTTCTGGTTGCCGAAGATAGTTCTTTATATTCTTGACTTTATAGTTGAACTCGTTGGCATGCGGGGGAAAAATGACTCGACGAAAACTGCTTAGAAGCAGCTAATCGCCTCGAGTGGCTAAAACCGCTGCACAGTACTGTTCTTTTGCCTTAAAGGTAGTTTAAAAGTGAATCTTTTGTACTTTGTGCTGGTGTGGCCGGTAAAATTGAGAAATCCGTTTGACAGACTTGGTGTACAAAGATCTTTGTGTGGTTTTTGCAGAAGACACACCTCCTGCCTGTGTCGGAGTAGTTGTGATAGTGAAAGGAACAGAAGGATGTGCAGTACCTTCTCGTTGTGATGTGAACTCGGACAAAACGTGTGCTGTGTCTTGGTTTTCGATGGAGTCAGGAGTGCCGGTTTTTTTTAAATTTTATTTTATTTTTTAATTTTTTTGGAAGGGTGGAGGTGGTGGGGGGTAGACAAAGTTTAGGTTAAAATTAAAGGAGGCTCTTTGGTTGGGTTTGTCGACACCACGCGGTGATCACCGTGCACTGCGCTGGCAAACCTTGGCTTCATCTCCCACTGACACTGCTTATTCCTTGATTGAATGATTGCAGACCACTGTATGTGCACATACGTGCTTGCATGTAGTGTAGCCAATGTTTGTTTTGCGTGAGCTAAATCAGATATTTACTTGCTGTGTCATGTTTTATGCTCATACATTTGTGATAAGAGCCAAAGAGACTACAAAATACGCAAAGAATAAAACTCCTTTTCTTATTTTTTGATTACTCGGGGTGCATTTTTGTCATCTTGGTATTCAGGATATCCTAAATCCCTTCTCTGAGCGTGTCCCTATACATGCATTCGCCAGCAGTCACGGACATACAGTTGGCCTACAGGCAGGGATAAAAATAGCACAAACCGATGCGACGGGCGCAGCCCTTTTCTCTTTCAGAGCCGACTTTTCTAGGTAGCTGCCACTCAGTTGGTACTCACTGCCTTCATTTCTAAAAACCCTAGCACCATCCACCATAGGCCAGCCCGCCCCATCGGATAAAGTCTCGTGAATGTCCACGCGGCATGAGTGCAGATGGACAGCCTGGTGCGCGTAAAGAGGGTCTTACAGTAAAGATGTTATAGATACAGAAGAGGGCTGGGAGAGAGACTGAGCATACTGTGGAGGGAGGTTTGTTTGTACGCCTTTGCACCGACAAGTGTGCACTCCCGGGGGTTTATTCCGTGGGTGAGCGGGGTCTGGTGCGTGGGCACGACCGGTGGAAAACAGGAGATTAAGGTTGTGTTTTCCTCTCCTTTGCCGTAGAGATACGGGTGTTTTGCCCGCCAAATGCACTGGATGCTGCGATATAAATTCTCCAAGACCAAAACAGCACCGACACTTGGTGTGTGGGGAGGGGGGAGACATGGGTGGGAGGAGGGTGGCTGGAAAGCCAGATGCTTAGAGGAGGGTTTTCACCAAGAGATAACCTACTCTAAAGCTGCAGTTTCCACGAGTCCATACCATATTACCCACCAGTATACCAGTAGTACCAGTGTTTTATCACTCATATTTTTCCTTCCACATGGCAAATTTTCGAAGAGAGCTGATGACAGAAAGGCAGCCTTTAATCAGACTCTCCGGGCTGTAAAGTGAGAGAATCTGAACGTGACGTCAATGCCTAGTAACTGACGCAGCCCTTCAAAAAAAGAAAAGAAAAAAAGGCTTTTTATTTATTATTTTTCGTCTTCTCGTCAGCAAAGCTTAATTATTAAATATAAGACTGCTATGTCGTATGTCGACTAAAAGAAAAAATAAAATCCTTCAGGGACCGCCGGGCAGTCCGTGCTGATCAGCATTTGGACCTATTTAGCGTTCATGAGTTTCAGCTGCTGAAGTGACACTGGGACGAGAAGATTCTGAAGAGGGCGACAAGACATCAAATATTGTCGATGGTAATGGCAGCGTCGACGAGTTCCAGATTTTAGTTGTTAGGTGGTGAAAGTGGCGTGTTTTAAGGAAGAGACGGACGTGGCGGTGCTGTTGAAGGCACGCTGGGTTGAGAGGGGGGAAAAAAGAAAAAAAAATCACTGCAATGATGCAACGGAGGGGACTCGGGGATCTTTGCAGAGTTGGAGAAGCAAAATTAATTTCCATTACATGCTCTTCACGTAAAGATCCCAAGCAGTGCCTTTTTTTTGTGGGTGTTTTTTTTCTTCTCCTTCCTCGTACTGTGACCTAAAAATAGCATCATAGTTTTGATCGTGCGCCAGAAATAGACAGACGGGTATCACTTGTATAAAAAGGAGGCGATCCTGAGCAAACTTGGACGTGCCACTGTAAGCCTACATAACAACAAATGGAGGACTTAATCTGTTGCATTTCTACCAGACTCTTGTTGCGGCTTCTTCTTTTTTTCCCCCTCCCTTTACTAAAATCTCAGTTCTTGTCTTTCTCTTTCTGCAGTGTCGAACAAGGACGTGACTGCAAACTGGTGAGTGAGACGTTTGCACACACACTTATTTAATTCCGTGTACTTTTTGTTGTGTGGTAATTGCTTGTGCATGCTGCCGAGTGTCTGTGCGGTCTATATTCCTCCAATTTTGCCTTACACTATGGCTCATGCACAAAAAATAAAACTTACAAAAAAAAAAACAAAACACCTTAACTTACGGTCCTACGCATGGATTTTGCTGGCATGCTTTACTAGCCATGTTTGATTGTAGAGCCGAAGCAACCCTTCCTGCAGAGTAGGAATCACCCCTTTTAGTAAATAAGCTAGTGCAAAAACTCCCTTTGTCTATTGGCGCTGTTGAGTCTCTATCACATATTTATTTTATTCCCTCCCATCTCTATGCTTAACCGCGAAAGCGAGGGGAACCCTTCTCTGATGAGCGCTTAAGGACGCCTTTCCCCCGTCTTCTCCCCCCCCCCCCCCCCCTCTTTTTTTTTTTTTTTTTTAAAGAGGAATCTTACTGACAGAAAAGCGACGCTGGAAGAGGAGGGAGTGATGTGAAGGAGCTGTTGCTGCAGCAGAGACCAGGCACACCGCATGGGGAAACCCGGGAGCTGTCCAGCAGCAATGGTGCTGAAACCACACCAAGTGGCAGTAGTGGGCTGTTGCTGGTGTGCTTCACTGTATGTGCGTTTGTATGGATGCGTGTGTATGTTAAGGGGGCTTGTTGGTGTTGATCCCGGCAGCCAGAAGCTTTGTTTACTCCTGTTTGGAAACCAGGAGTTCGTATACTGAGCGAATCCTCTTTCCTGGAAAGGGGAAGTATTGAAGCACCCCACCTTATCTAAGTTGCCCGAATCTGCTAATGAGGGACACTCGCACCCCCCCCCCCCCCCCCCCCAAAAAAAAAAAAAAAAAAAAAAAAGATGGTTCTAATATAGTTCTTCCCGCCTGTATAGTTTGAACTGCCTCGACGGATGCCATGGGCAGAGAGAAGGAGAGAAAGAGGTACAGCCGGACTGACTTGGATCAGCTCTTCTCCTGCTGGCGTCAGCCTCGTGATTTCCTGGCGTGCCAGTCAAAATCATAAAGGATATATTCTCGCATCTCGCATCCCTACCAATCCAGCGGTTTGAACTGAAAGAGTTTACAGTGCTCTTAAGAGCAGTTGCGAAATAGCTGAGGGTTTTCTGTGGGGTTTTTTTCCTTTCTTTTTTTGAGAGCTCTTCTCACGATAACTTTTCATCCCGGCGAGGGCTTCTATTAGAGTCATCTACTCCACGACAAACTGTGAAGGAATCAGTCCGTTTCGTTTAAGGTAGCTGTGTTAAATTAGCGAACGGAAAGATCACAACAAGGCTACAGGCGTCTGCACAGCTCTGCAGCCCGACTGGGGACTCGACGAGCGCGCTCACCCCGAGTCTGTGCACGACTTTGGCCAATTTCCTCAGTACATTTGCATTCTGGCTAAAGAGCTACAGTGGATTAAAACGAGCAAACAAACAAAAAATAACAAAACAGATAAAAATCAACCAGCCACCGGTATTTGTCATACAAAAATCCCGTTCACCTGCGATACACTGCTCCACCTCTCCAAACCCCCCAAAAAGAAATTCTCATCAATTCTGTCGTTCTTCTTCGGCCAAAACCCGCAAATACGCACTCGAGGGACCATATTTTGCTCAATAATTCAACGCCAAGAGTGTAATTTCGGTGAAAAAAACACGGATTCCCGAGTCGTGACTGCTAAAGTGAGTAATGTGCGCGTTGGCTGCGTCAAGAGAGGCAGTCACTGTGCAGTGCAGACGGTGGGGGAGAATCGTGACTGACTGGGTTGCAAATGAAAAGACCACCCAATAAAAAAATATCTACACCGGGAGGAGGGGAGGGTGGGGGTAGGGGTGGGGTAGAGGGCGCTTGGCGAGAGGGAAGAGGATAGGAGTCTGGGGTTGGATTTGCACTAACCATTGCCCCCCCCCCCCCCGAAATTCCAAATACCTCCTTTCTCCATAAGCGTGTGATTAGTGTGTGCTTGCTGGGATGCTGGGAGCCAAGTTGAATACAGATCAGTGTCATCAGTGATAGTGGGGCGGTGAAGATATGGGGGGGGGGGGGGGTATACAGTAACTTCCAGGTGCATGGAGTTGAGGGGGTTATGTAGAAAGGGGGGTGGGAAGGGGGTGCACTGCAGCTGCATCTGAGAAAAAAAACAAATTAAACATGGAACTTTTCCAGGGAAAAGAGGTAAGTTGTTCTTTTCATTTTATTTGTCCTTCCTCTAAAACGAAGATCATTAAAGATTCTTTCAACTTTTTGTATGTGTGAGGACGAGTGGTTTACGGTCGTGATTAACTCTTTGACTCCTGACGCCATGCTCAGCAACGTGTTGTTGTTTTTGTTAAGTGAAACATTTGTTGCTGTGTGAGTTGTGAACTACTGCAGTGAATCGCATGCCATGTGGTTATTGTCATGTTCGCTTCCCACCTGTAAATGACTGAAGGATCGTAGGGACTGAATTTGTTACACGGAGCCCCCCGTGTCGGTTTTTGCAGTGGTACCCTCCGGTGAACTCTGTAGGTGACCATGAGTCGCCTCAGATGCTACTTGCTAAGATGTGACGCGATGTAGAGGGCTGTACAAAGCTTGTTCGCACTTGTCCGAAGTCCGGTTGCTATTATTATTAGCTTTGTTTCTGTACCATATTTTCGTTTGTGTGCATTCCCTCATTATTTTGTATACAGCTTGTAGCTGGCGCGTAAGGAAAGTCCAGGATGCCTTTACTTCTAATGAGGTGAAAATAGCTCATTTTTGTTGTCACGTGTCATGTTTATTATTATCGTCAGCGTTTGATACGTTTGTTATTTATCACACTATAAAACGCGTGGAGCGACGGTTGTTTTCGCAGTCTCGTTAGAGGCTCTGCAAACGCAAAAAGGCTGAAAAATAGAAACTGCTAACACTGACATAGTCGCATCGGAGTCGTAGATCCTAATATAAATGCATATATCCAAAGTATAAACTCTGCCATAGACCACAATTTGGTTAGCCATCTTTTTTTTTCTTTTCTTTTTTTTTTTTTTTCAAAAAGGGGGGTCCCTATGTGAGCGAGACGCCGATTGGCTGATGACGAGGTTTAGTTTGCTCCAATAAGATCCCTCCCTGCTCTCTATTTATTGCCAGCAGTTTACAGCCTTGCTCCCTCCTCACCAAGCGCTCTGGAGCGGCTGCAGAGCGCCAGCGCTTCACTATAGGGAGACACACCACGGACCAGGGAATATAATACAGAGCACACTGACAACAAAACGCATCGATGCACAGCTCCCGTGGATCACACGGGCTTTGCACATCCGAGCGTTTGGATAAAAAAAATTATAGCAAATAGGAGAAAATATGAAAGAAACAGTAAGAGGGGAAGGGGAGAGGAGAAAGGATTGGTTGAGAGACGAGAAGGGAGATAGAGGAGGATTTAAACTGGAGGAGTGGGGAATCAGAGCGAAAGGACCTTGGACAGCTCTCAGTTGCAGCAACCGCCTTGGCATCCGGAGACCCCCCTCTTTCCACTGTCTTTCTTTCTTTCATCCTTTCTCTTCCTAATGTGTGTGTGCGTGTGTCTCTGCGTGTGTGTGTGTATGTTGGAAGGATACACTCGCCTCGGGTTTCCGAAGGCTGGAGATATAATCAACCGAGTCGGGATGGGAGATAAATTCACGGAAGCAGAGAGCAGAGGTGTCACGGAGTCTCCGTAGGACGGCAGCAGCAGTAGCAGCAGCAGATAATGTCCTTCACGAATCTTTTTGCGGTCTGGGCTTGCTGTTCATAACTATTAATCTGGGAAGCCCTTACCCCAAAAAGCATTTGCGGAGGGCGCAATCGCCGCGCCGAGACACCGACATCAGAAGACAGCACTCTGGAATTTTACAATCTTTCCTTTTAAGGGACTTCTTTTATTTTTTCTACTCAGATTTTCCTTTTGGTTCATATTTGTCTTTATTTACTCTTATCGTTTTTATCATTGCCACGGCTGTGGGGGTTTTGTTCTGTTTGTTTTTTCAGCTCTAAGTGTGTCTTTTTTTCGTAGTCAACAGTTTTCTTCTTTGTTAGAAATTGTGTCGAAGCTCTGCAGCCACGTCGCACCCAAGTTTTCTTCAAACTCTTGCGTGCCTTTGTGCTCATAAAACAAAATAAATAATACAATTTTGGTAACAAACATTTCGGCGGACCCCAAACTTCGAGCAGTGTAACATCAAGTCATTATTTCAGCCAAACACACCCAAACCCAACCCCGTCGGCCACGCTGAACAAGTGACAGCGGGCCCAGCAGTGCAAAGTGTAAACACGGGGAGACCCTTGCAAGTTGCACGTGGAGGTGTGTGTGTGTGTGTGTGTGTGTGTGTGTTTTGGAGGGTGTGGTGCTTGGACGTCACTGAACCCCTAACTCCCTTCAAAAAAGAAACTGTGGGAAACATTCAAACACACACACACACACTCACACACACACACACACACACACACACACACACACACACACACCTGTAAGCAAAGTGCATATGCAAGGGATTCCCCAACAAGACCATCCAAACTGGCAGATGGAGAGGAATAAGGAACAGCTGCATCCCTGTCTCATACACGTAGTTACTCTGTGTGTGTAGCGTCCGTGAACATTCAAACAGCCTTCTCTTTAACACACACACACACGCACACACACACACACACACTGAAAATGCACGTGTCTCCCTCACAGTTTTGTGAATAGTAGTTAATCCACCTCAAGCATCGCCCACCACTGTTCCCCTGTCAACGTTCCCCACAAAGAGCACACAGAGAGCCGGCCACGAACACGTCCTTCCAGTACGAACCAACAGATTACAAACAAAAAATAAAAAGATGAAAAATATCAACTTTAGTCTCGTCAGCTTAGCGACTGGGTCATTATACTGCCAACTTCAGTAGCACGAAACTATGGCTCATGAAGCTTCGTGTGAATGCAGTGAGTGATTTCTGCAGCAAAAGTAGTCATGGCGATGAAAATAAAAGCAAGACATGAGCACCAGCTCTTTCAGAAGACACAGTAAAAAGAACGAAAGTAGATTCAATTCATTTTAGGGCGGAGAAGAAAAAAACACATGCGACTTTGTGCCCTGTTTCCTCTCTGCTGTCCCATCACAGGTAAAGGGAATGAAAAGTGTGAATGATCAAAATCAAGTGTACTAATGATCCTAATAAATAAACATTTCCGCGTATTTGCAGTACAGATCCACAGAGCAGCAAGTGTAACCCTAGAATGGAAAAAACGGTTGGCTAAATGTGCTGAGTCCCACTTACGCTGACAGGAAAATATAGTTTCAAAAAACGGGGAAAAAAGTGTAGATCAGGGAACAAAAACGACGTAATCACAAAGCGCTCAGATGCGGCCCCCGTGTCTTTTGGCTAAAAACGCAGAGTTCCCAGAAAAATGAACTGAGATGGGGGTGGGGGGGAGGAAAAAAGTTCGTGACGTACTAGATAACCCACCGTGTAAAAATACATTTCCCAGAACATGTTTCTAATTTCGAGAGTGACGTGTGACCCAACTCTTGAGCAACGCAGAGATCTCAACGAGGCACTCTTTAGATAATCCAAATTATCTAAAGAGTGTAAAACATAGAGCAGGGATTAATGAACTGGCAATAAAGTGTAAGAAAGCATAAACACGTATTGAAACGACCACAGAGATTACGTAAAACAAAAAAAGCGTGACCTCTGACCCTCGGACTCGCCTTCCGTTTTTCTGCCTTAATAGCCATAATGATAAAAAGCCACACCTGTCTACAAGAATACAGGGCACTGGCTTGTCTCCTGCTTTCTGGGTGGGGATGTGAATGAAAACTTATCTTGGCACCTTTCAAAGGTGGCTTAATTACTGAATATTTACTGCGAGGATTCGCGTCATTTCAGCGCGTAAAAGCAGTTTTCTCAATGGTTTGTGGTGGTGCGTCTGATGATAAGTTGCCTCCCCTCCCCCAGTCCCCAAATCCCCCGTTCACATTATGTCTTCCGTCTGTCCCTTTAGGCCTGCGAACTTTTAGACGATTAAGTCTCATAATGTGAGCTTTGTCCATTTGTCTTGCAGGAGAGAACAATGACAACATGAGTGAAGATGGAAACGGGGTGACTTAGGAGCTCAGGTGGACTTGACTGCTGCTGCTGGAGCCTTCAGCTGGGCGCCGGTGAGAAAAGGTGACCTACGATTTGGATGTATGCACCGAGGATCGACTGAAAGAGGGACCGACCGATCGACCTTCCTTCCTCCCTCTTTCCTCTGTTCTCCCTCACCTTCTCTCTCTCTCTTCTCCATCTTGAGACAGGTAATTGCACGGGCTGAAATGTGTTTGAGGATGACGTCAAACACAAATCACCCTTCAAATTGTGTTTCGCGTAAGGCTCGTAATGACAGCTCGGTGCATGTGAGCAAGAGTTGTGTTTGTGTAGGGTCTCGTGCTTCTAGATTTCTATCATTTATATGTTAAAGTTATCATGGAGCTTTAAGTCAAATGGAAAATAATTGCCGTGATCTTGTAATTTATTGAGAAGCTGGAAGTAGCACACTGTAAATTTGCACTATACATCTGCATTGTACTTTGTGTATTAGTGAGTTAGTGGTTTTTCGTGTTTTAGTTTTTGCTTTTTTTCTGTTTAATCTGTCACACGGGTCCGTCGTGCTTTTTAGTTATATCACCTCTATATGTGCAATAGTATGAAAGAAGCCCATGCGCAAGTTTTAGCTGTCAGTCTGATGTTGTAATTGTAGAGTTCACGTGGTTTCAAGAGAACCGATTAGATACTCAGTGGTATTTGTGGTATGGGTTTCACAGTTGGATGTCAAAGTATATGATGAGCATTTGCTTGTTTGTAATGTCTTTTATTTTTTTCTATCATAATCTATATTGGAGTTGGTGTGAGCGTGGGTGTGCTTTAATCCTGTCTATAACTTGCACTGTATCTGGCTCATACTGTATGTTTTTGGCACCAGAAGATGTAAATTCTTACCTGCTATGTCACCTCTCATTGTGAGTCATCATATCGTACACAGTTCAGGCAACACCTTGGCATCATGTTAGATTTACTTGCCTTTGTAATAACTCTGTAAAGAGAGGGGCAAAAAGGTGTCATCCAGCTTCTGAAAATTCATTGTTATTGTTGAAGTTATTATAAGTTATTATATGTTACCACTGTAAACTGAAAAATGAGATCAAGTTAAATGTTATGGAGAATACAATCATGTCTATCATGTGTAATGACTGGTGTTTGCCCTCTGGGTAAATTAGTTCTTCCTATGGAAAGCTTTATTTTTTCATCTCTGTTATATAACAGATGGTGTACTCAGGTGTTCCACAACTTTTTAGACAGGAAGTGGTAGTTCAAGATTGAGAAATATTGAGAAATATGCTGTCACTGTCAAAATAATATGGCTGTTTATCAGGTGTAAGTGTGTGTGTGTGTGTGTGTGAGGATAAAAACCTGAAAATATGATTTTAAATTACACACAACCTAAAGTAGCACAACAATTAGTTTCACAGCGCATTGCAAATTTGAATTTCTTACAGCTGTTTCTTTAGCCTGATATTAGTACAAAATTGTCACAATTTCTTCGTGTTCAGTAAATGATCATGACTCTGAAAGTTAGGGAATTTCATGTGGGATACGTGTGTGTCTGTTTAGTCAGAAAGACATCTTGGTTTTTATTTGAACATATTTTGAAATTTCCATCTCCAGTACTTTTGCCTCCATACAGCAAACCTGTATGAAATAATTTATCATAATAATCTGCAAAACACACTATTTCTTTGGTGGAAAAATGTTAACACACAACACCAAGTCTAGTAAGTTGCTGTTGCAATTTTCTAATGCTGTGACCACAGCAGAACTCCACTTACCAGTAGTTTCCATTTGGGCGGTGTCAGAAATCTCACAGAAAAATCTCAAAAGCAAATACACATGTGGTGATGATCAGACAGATTTGTGGGAAAATATCTCTATTTGAAATTTAGGCAAACAAACCAGTTAACTGATAACTTACGGCCTCAGAGTTCTCATCACACCAAATTAGAATAAGGGAACGTCTGAAAAATATAAGCATCATTTTCTCTGAAAATTGGCATGTTCTTTTTTCTTATTTTTAATCACACCACAAAACCATTTGATGTCTTAGCTCAGTGTCGTATGATGCTGTTGGGACTGTAGCCGTATCAAACTGTATGCTTCCCCCCTCTTGTGCACAGAGAATCAGAATAATGTTTCAAACAGTAAATCACTACGATGGAAAAGTAAATTGGTAGGGGTAACAACTGGCAATGAAAAAATGTGATTGTGTTCATGCTGTGGAGTGTAACATAATTTGTCATGTGATTGCCACTGAATGTGTCCATTGTTTTAAAAAAACACAAGCCAAAAATCTTATCGCATTTTAAAAACTGTATACATATCAACTACAGGTCAAAATACACACTCTGCTATGATTATATACTCATAATTTAATAGTCTACTCACCTTCATAAGAGTCACGTGATATATTTTACCTGAAATGAGTGGTGAGCATTTTTTCCCTGACATCATCCCACCTGTGTATGACAAATCACAGCATGTTCCTAAATTTCCTCTTGTAATCTTTTCTGTTGTTAGCTACCAGTGCGAAGCTATATTTAGGGGGATGACGTCATGGTTAAAAGTGAGACCAAAGGGCTTTGAAGACATGTGCTACAAAAAAGAGGGAGTTATGTTAAACTCCGGATGCTAATAACACATCGGGTGTGTGCTTCATTATAGCTCCTCATCAAAAACAGATAATAAGCATTTATCCTTGAGGATTATCCCATGGACAGCAGCATCCATTTGGTTTCAGCAGTCTTGAAAACCACATGTGGATGCACTCAAAATTTATGTGGATTGACTCAATTGGCTAAGCTATCTTTCAGGGCTTTATCACAGGCTGCATTTTATTTTTAGTGTAACCTCAATATTTGCCGTCAATCAACTATTTGAAATACAAACACTAAAGGTAGCCATGTAACAGAACTAAACAACAACAAATGGGATTTTTTTTCATGACTTTTGTTTTTATCCTTCTATCTTTTTTTGCAGGGGGATTCATTCATAATTTTCATCATTCGTTTCGCAAGCAGGAAAAATAATCACGTCCGTTTCATATATCTATCAAATCTGTTTTATTCACAAGCACTGTAAATGGCAGCACATTTGTTCTGTCTACCTTATGCTGGACTGAAGCTATATCAATCTCACCCTTGAACATAGATGAGTTGTCTCTGTTTATTTGTGTTTCTGTGGTTAAAGATTGTAGCTTCTCTGAACAAGGCTTGTGCAGCTCCACATTTTCCTTGATGGGAATGTTCATAGTGGAAAGACCAAAATCCCCAAATGACATTAATTGATGCTAATAAGGAGTGTATGCCAAAGCCTTCCACTGTATATTTTCTATCACTGTCTCATAGTTTCTTAGAAAATGGTAAAAACCCAATGAGTGACATGTTTGAACTAAGCGACACACTCCTTCAGGATGAGGAACGTGGCTACTGTAGTAAAGTTTGAGTCAGTCCTGCAAAGGCATCCCCTATGCGAGGAATATTGCATTTAGCAAAACGGTTTGTGTTTCAGTCTTGAAATGGAAATAGTCACCAAATATATTATTTGCTATTCTCTGCCAATTAATATTTGTTTTGGAGAATGAGAATAGAGGGTTTACATTGAGTGCTTTTGTCTAGGCTACAGAAGCTTAGTGCTTCTGATACCTTTGATAGCTATTGTTGATGTTTATCATGGTTATAATAATAAGCATGGATAAAGTTCGAGGGCAATTGTGGCAACACAAAAAGGAACTTTTAATATGAAACAGAAAATGATTCTCAGTCTGCGCAAGCTGTGCGATTTATTGACCTGTCCATCCACCTGTTTTTTCAGATCACTATGTGAGCAGTGACAACTTCAGTGCATAGTTTATAACGCTTTATTTTAGAACTCAGTCAAATGTAGCACTGATATAAGTCACTAACCTAACCTACTATCCCCAGCTAATGGTTAAATTTGCATCCATTAGTGAAAAAAAAGGTTTTATAAGAATTTTTTTTATGCTTTCTTAAAAATGACAGGTGTATGTAGTCTTAAAACATGCACATATGTTTTTACCATGTAACATCCTACAGTTACGTTCCCCACTCAGGAGGTGTAATAGTGCAAGAGACTGCCACGGACATCACTGAACTATCACCATTATGCTACATTAGTGGAAAAACCTCAGATCCTCCTTTAGATACTATTCTAATGGCATTTGGAATTTGAATTAAAAACAGAGCTCCTTAGTTAATACCTTCAAAATCAAATTAAACTTCATTCATTCTAATGCTTATTCATATATTTTTGTGCGGGGCATATGGAGTCTTTTTTGTGTGTGTCACACAGATGATTGTGTTGTGTTGTAGTGGTATTAGACGCAAGTCTTCCACAGCATTAAAACACTGAGAGCTGACGTGATGAACACTGATCACGTCTTTAAAATACAGTGTGCAGCTGGGGCCTTGGCATATATGTGCATATTACTTTGACATGCATTAAGTGCCATATTCATAAACAGTGACCAAGCACACACCACACGAGAGAGCGTCCTCCCCCAGCAGGGCTGTTCTACCAGCCACACAACTCAGGAATGGCTGAGAAAAGCTCAGGGGATTACTTGACCTTCAAACTCCCTAGATCCCAGTCCAGTTGAACAAATGATCGACCCAAAATGACCACAGGACACCCTAAGAACTCTTGTGTTTCTGCCCTGATAAGTCTATTTTGAGTCATCCCATATGTAGAGTATGTTAACATATGTCAGTTACATGAGATTACTGTTGTTGTTGCTGTGACCAAGTCAGTTTTTCTCATAAATAATCACAAATTAATCAAGGTATCTCCTTCTGTTCTTTGTCAGTCTACTAATATTAATGTAATTCAAAAGTTGTACTTGGCAGGTGTATTTGTGCAGATCCAGGTGACCGCAAAACTCAAAATCTGAAATCTCTCATTGACAAAACTATTCCAGACCATAGTTGTGGTGTGCCAGATTATGTCTAGTTGTATCTAGTTATCTAGTTGTATCCTAGGCATCTAAAACTTTATAGGTAACAAAGACTCACACCCGTGTATGTATAAGGTCCCACAATTCACATGACAAGGTAAAAACTAGGTCACAAAGTCCAAGAAACTCAATGTAGACATCTATGATAAAACTGTGAAAGGCATTCAGTCGTGAAAAAAGTGCATGCCGAGGAAATTACATTTATTCCATCCAGTCATTTTCTTAATCACTTAT